ACCCAGCTGAAAAAGTCATATCGAGTACTTGTTAGTCTTATATATTGAATCAATTATGAGAACAGTGAGAAAAAGTGTTGAACAACTTGATGGAATTGGTATGAGTCCAAAATATATCTCAGATTGTTTTTCCATCTTCACAAACTTTGTACTTAGATATATAATGATCATCATCCAAAAGCTTCAATAAATGTTGCATTTCAGATATTAGACATCTTATCGTTTTGTTGTTTTGAGTGCAGACATTATACAATTTCCTGATGTTTGCGACACTTTTGGAGATTTTCCTTTTCAAAGTTGATAGTATGTTTTTGGGCTGAACCATGTTCAATGTCATGTAAAGTCAATTTTCTTCTCTTCATAGTTCAGACGATGTACAATGGGGTGACCGGCTAACTTGTAACCCAAATCATGATTATGTATACCATAAATCACATTAAATGTTCATGTATTATTTGCATTGAGGTACCCGCAAAACTTAAAAGGACACTCACATTTCCTCGTTCCAATATCATTGCATTTTAACTTTCGCATAGATATTATATTCTTGCCACTTCTTTCACATACCATTCTCACAAATGTATGTCTTCTATCAGAACCAGAATCCGACCTCCCGATTACAATGTCGAACCCTAATTTAATCATCTTTTTACTAATCCATTGAAGCATATGTCCATGTATAGAAAACTTTTATTAATTTGTAAATTATTTTTCAACGTCTACATAGACATCACCCGATTTAACGTTCATGGATAGAGTAGTGTTGGAGACATCATTAGGGTGCACCATAACTACAACCAATCCTAACAAAAGACAATTTAAATTTTATATCTGAACAGACTAGATTTCAATTTCCGAACAGAATGTGATAGAATATGGGTTTTTTTATATAAAAAACAATTGATGATATAAAATAATGATCAATGTTATGCATGGGCATTACTTGAGATCATTGCTTCTTTTATTCTTTTTGATATCAAAATATATAAAAATGTTGTTTTGAAGTAAAAATCTTAACTAACAATGGAAATAAATTTTTCTAGTATTTTCCAAAAAAAGAGTTTTAATCATTAAAACATAAATAGTGATATACATGCAAGATAACAGTCAAATTCGTTTCCCACTTGAAATTCCAAAGGTTGTTATCCATATTGTATCCAAAGATTAAAATACAAACATATTTTAGGAAAAAATAAGCATGCATGCAAGATAATAGAGAAATTTGTTTCCCACTTAATATTCTAGAGATTGTCATCTGGACTGTATTCGAAGATGAAACTCCAAAAAAATATTAGAAATGAAGTGACTTTGTTGTAGAATAGACGCATCTAAATTTTGAAATCCAAAATATACAAGAGGTATTTTAGAGTTTTTAAAATATTTGTGATCACTACATAGGGTATAGTGTAGTACATCCATACTTCTTTTTCCCACCAATTTTCGAAATACCCAAGACTCTACTTTTTTCTATTATTATAGCCATTTAAATTAGGAGTTGCTTAAGGCACCCTATATATTGCTACCATACCCTCGTGAAAATCCAAAAATAAACCGCTGATTCCAAAGATACATCTCCAGAAGCACCCCAAACACGTACAACCATGTATGATTTTGAGTAACGAACAATATTTTTGTCTACTTTTCTTGCGAAAATGTATCTCCATAAACTTACGAAGGAGTATTTGTGAATCATAGTGAAGCAGAAACAATCATAGAACCATAAAGATGCAGAATCAAATTAAAATTAGCATTGATAACATAAAAAACAAAATATTACATAGGTAATCGTTAACATAAATAGAACATTACATTTCAATATTCAGATGGACGTTCTAACATCTTTATAATATCATCAATTGAATTCGAAATCGTCGTATCCATCTCAATCAGAACTTTTGTTTTGTAACGGAAAAATGTATTCCATATAGCCCTTAAGTATGCACCCATCTTTACCTCAAAGTTGATGAACTCAATCTTCCATTCATTATCAATCGAAGATGGACGGTACTCGAGCTTCACAATTTTTCGATTGTTGGAGTATTGTAGGAGATTCTCCACTATGAATTTCAGATCTTCAAAAGGGGTGTACTCATTAAACTTAAATTCAATTAAGGGTATCACATTGTTGAAGTAGACATATGTGACATTCCATTTAATGTCCGTTCTGGTGTAATCTGATTTGGTAAGAGAAATGAGACGAGAGCCCCCTACCTATAGTAGTTCTAGGCCAAATGGACCTTATAAATTCTATCTTGTACCAGGGGACGTTCTGGAGATGCATTTATGGTACCACCCTATTATGTTATTCCAAAGATGTATTTTAAAAACCACTCAGCACAGAATAAAATTCAGAAAGAAACAGAAATAGAACATGTATTGAAATGGAGAAATTTTATAGAAACTTAAACAAGTATTGAAATCACATTAATATTAATACAAGATTACATACAAAACATGTTTAACCACATAAATACATTGTTGAATAAAAACTAAAATGAATCGAAACATGTGTCACTGGCTAAATCTATATCTATGGGTGGTACCACATTTGACTTGTATGTTTGGTTCTCTTTCAATCTCGCTTAACTTGGTGAATTTTGCATCCATTCCAAAAAATAATTTGGCCATGTCTCGTCTTTATTTGACAAATGAGGTATCCACTCTGGTGATGTCAGTGGTATAGGGCATCCTAGTTTCAAATAAACTTGATTTTTAAAGTTAGCCAATATACATAATACAGTCATTTGGATTTGGAGGTGGACCAGTGTGTAGTAGGAAAAAAAATTCCGAGAAACTGTATCTTGTTAGATCAATACACAATCTTTCATACATACTTGCCATAAGATAACCCATTTCAAGAAAGCACGTCCATTTTTCCTTTGGATGATCCACTAATGCAAGGAACAAGATATTCATGAATTGCATAAAAAAAATTCAGTATAGTCGTGTATATGATTATTTATGGGCCTTCAACTCATTGATAAGTTGAACACTGACAAATTGATGATCATCGTCTCTTTTACCAAGTAAAGCAGAAATATCTCTATTATCACAGTTATCGTCACCCTTAACATTGACGATCCGTTTAATGTATGTGCATAAAAATCGGCATCCCATCGATGAATTGGATTTATGCTAAAGACGTTGAAGGAGATGGTTTGCTAATGCGAGCTCCATTGAAAGCACCCTTTTTAGATTTTGGAGTTGAAGAATTCTAATTTTTTTTGTCAACATGTTCAAAATAGGAAGGAGGCCACGTCGTTGAATTGTCACTCGGTGCTGGTTTGACCTTCTTAGAAGCATCCTTTATTTTTACTAGTTGAGACGGTGGTTTAAAATTATTGGTTTCTAGATAAGAAATCTTCCTCAATTTCTTTTTGATGTTAAGTTTCATATTGTCATCGTCTTTCAAAAATCTTGCTTGTATCACTTCCCATGAATTCAAGATATACAAGTTTGAGCTACATACACCATTTCTCTTATCGGATTAAGGAGCTACTTCAAGTAACAAGTTTCAAAGAATACATTTCTCCATCACTTGTTCATCATTCAAGGTCCAAGGACATTTAATTAATTTGTGCCTTTCATAAGAGTTAAAGTAGCACAAAGTCACAAAGGAGGATTTAAAACTCTCACCAACTCCAAAAATCTAAGTTCAGGAGGAGTCATGAAACTACTTCTTTTTTTCATTGCACGAGACCAAGAGGACATATGAGGATAGGTTCTAAATACAAATTATCATCCGAAGCATACATAAAAAATCAGAAGAATATTACAAAGTGAGCTTAAGCCTGTCGATTAACCTTGGACAAGACCCACTAATACTCATTATTTCTTATACATGTCAAGAATAATCTATTTACATCAAGCCTTTACAAAGTATTGCAACACTAAAAGCCTACTTATTTGAATCATTTCTAAAGTATTAGAACCCAGCCCTATATTTTGAGACATTACTATCACTACCATGGAAGCTTGTAAATCCATTGAACCTCCTCTTTCACGGCACGAGAAACCGCTAGCCCTCAACTGTCAACAACATCAGTGGATTCACAATTGTTAGTAATGGAAAAAGAGAAAACCCTTAAAAAAGGTATAACAGATTTACAAGCCATATTTAGGATGTTTGTTCAAGAATGTTATAGGACCTGTCTGAATTTAAAAAGGGGGTTCTTCAATGTGTCCACCAGCATGTCGATCAGCATATCCTCGTCGTCATTCAGCACCGAAAAGATGTCTTCCACCAAGAGACATTATTGCTACACAGATTGAAAAACATTATATAGCCACAAGTGGAATAGACTAATAAATCTTCCAACATCACCTAAAGAGGTTTAAAGGTCATACTTGAAGATTCACGAACGAACTACGCACAGAATCCCCCGCATACAGAATCAAAGCCGAGATCATTTTTAGCCCCTCCTCCCATACCGTAAACGCAAGACTGCTTTTGTGTAACTCCACAGAAGATTGGTCGTACCGAGTTGTTTCTGAAATAAATGGCAGAGCCACCTTTGGCCGCCATTAGAAGCAGAACTTACTTGAAAGGAAACCAATTACATCTTAACCGTCCATAAGCATTAACCTGCAACAAACCAGTATTCAGAAAATCCAGCAGTTAACATAGGCACCGATGGTTCTACTGTTAAGGCAATAAAAGAGTAAAATTGTCCAATAGATACCTAAGAAAGGAGGGTGGTTAATGAGGCATCTAAACCTGTAGTAAGTGAAGGAAATATTGTGGCAGCTCCTGCAGTTAACAACACACAATATTACCATTTGAGTTGTGCGAACCAAGCCTTCAGATAGATCAAGTCCCTCGTACACTTCCCCAGGGCACAAACCTACAACAACTTTGAGGATAGAATCAAATTCATATTCGCTTGGTAATGAACATTGATGCAACTGACAAGGACAATGAATTGGCTGCAACAGAGTACCTTGATGATATTTACAAGTATTAAAAACTCAGTGAAGATGACTGTCCTGTACATGATTACATGCCTTCACAGCCAGGTATAAATGCTAAGATGAGAGTGATTCTTGTTGATTGGATGGTTGAAGTTCATAGAAGATTCAAACTCATGCCAGAGACTTTTTATCTGACTCTTAATATTGTTGACCGATTCTTGTCCATGAAGGTTGTTCCTAGAAAGGAACTTCAGCTTGTTGGCATAAGCTCAATGCTTAATGCATCTAAGTATGAAGAGATATGGGCACCAGAGGTTACTGATTTTGTATGCATATCAGACAATGCCTATGTTAGAGAACAGGTTTTGGTTATGGAGAAAACAATCCTGGGAAACCTGGAATGGTATTTAACAGTTCCTACTCCTTATGTCTTTCTGGCCTCTACTCCCTCTGATAAACAGATGGAAAATATGATCTACACTTAGGAGGAGTCCTTTTTGAACTGACACTCTCAAGCACTACACAGGCTATTCTGAGGAACAACTAAGGGATTGTGCCCAACTCATGGTCAATTTTCATGTTGCTGCACAAGAGAGTAAGTTGAGGGCTATTTAGAAGAAATTTTGTACCGCAGATCGTTGTTCCGTTGCTCTTATGGCTCCAGCCAACCTTGCAGCTTCCTTCCAAAACTAAGTGATCAGTAAATCTTCATCACTAATCTCCGTTCATTAAGCATAATGGGAAGGCCAGCATAAAGTCGTGTCAGTCGTGCCCTTACGGAATCAAGCTGGTCCAATTTATTCTCAAAGTTCCTACAGATAAAGGATATGATTAGAACAAGGAGAGATCAGATTAGAGTGAAAACCAATCGAAATCACTGATATTGATAACATTTGAAAACCAAAACCGCAGACCTGGTTATTTGAATGTCAGAAAGCACAGTTCGTAATGAGATTCAAAATCATATTGTTCATCAAATGATCAGCAACCTTAAAACTCAACGGAGATTGATGCTGCTTCAGAGATCAGTACTGAAACCGAAACTGCAGATTAAAGTTCTCAAGCGGAAGCAGAAATGGGAATAATTCAATTGCCTCAGTCATCTCTAGAGCTACCAAGCAAAAACCGGTGATTCGACAGATAAAGCTTTTGAAAGATGGAAGGAAAGGAAAAGCTACTCAAGAACAGTATTCCCCAGCAGAGTCACCTTTCTTGAATTTTCAAAACACCAGCATGCCCTTGTTGCATTAAGAGTTCTTAACCATAATCCCGGAACTTTTGGTCCTGAACATCGGCCGATCGTGGAGTTTGCTCTTGATAATGTTCAGACATTGAAACTTCAGAAGGAAAAGCAACAATATCAACAACAAGAGAATCAATCCCAGTTTGGTCTTCGAATGACATCTCTAAAGACCGTTTAGTTCTCGTTGAATGACCACGACGAACCTGTCCACTCCACTACCGTATTTGCTTTGGGTTGTCCGTCTACTGGCCCAATAACTTGTTCGCTTTCTACACCTGCCAAAACGCAAATCTCAAGTCAGCAAATTGTTTGAGGAGTATACCGTTGGAATATCCAACTAGCAATCCAAAACATTGAACCTGGACAGATGAGTTTTAACGAAATTGATACGGTATCAGAGATTGGATTTTCACTTAACAGTTAATTAAGAGATTGGAGCGAGAAAGGAAAGTTTTCAAATTGGTTTGTACCGAAATAGAAAATCCCATCAAGCCTTCAAAGTGTTTTAAATCAGTCTTCAAGGCCATTGCTTCTAAAAAGTCTATATAAGATGAAGAAGAGAAGAAAATCGGAGACTACGACAAGAAAACCTAGAGCTCATGAACCTAAGAGATTGAAAGAGGAGACTTATCTGTTTCAACCGTCGGAGCCATCACCAGCCGCCGCGAGTCCACTGACGACGCTTCCATCCCGTCATCTCGAACACGATCCCACTGTCCCCAACTTCCGGTAAGCCATCGATTCATGTCGTGATTATTGATTTCTGATAGTTTTTGTTTGTGTTTCAGGCGAAAGAGATGAAGGAACGAAAGAGACGATCGAGGGGGGATGCGATTTCGATTTGGGAAATTTGAAATGGATTAGGGTTCTTTGTTACTATTATGAATCCTCTGTTGTTGTAATTAGTGTATTATGATCACACACACACCGTAACACCTACACCCACTAATCGCTAGTTAACCCTTCATTTGCCCCTAATTAACCCGTTTTATTAACATTTAATCTAGCTGATTAACAATTAACCTTTTTCCTTAATTTTAATTCAATTAATCAACTATTATTTTAATAAGTTTTTTCAATAATAAAGGTAATGACCTTTTTTTAAAATAAAACCTTTTCTAATTAATTAAGTTATTTATTTGAGTAAATAATCTTTTTTTATCTTTTCAGCAAAATCACTCATTAAGGTAATTAAATTTTTTAATCAATTTCATTACTTTTATATTGAGTTTTATTTTAACTAAGTAACCCCTTTTTAATTCATTCATTTTAACAATACTTCTTTTTTTCATACCAAGACACTACCTTTTTTAAATAAAAAAATCATTTGTCAGTAATTTAGTTAATCTAAACCAAAAATTTCTTTACTAAAAATAAATTAATGATCCTTTTCTTAATAAAGAATGATAAGAAATGATAACCATATCTATTTGTTTAGTAATCTTATTTAATTATGTCAAAGCTTAATTAATCTCAACTTAATCCTTTTTACTTCCAATCTAAATCAATTAACTCTTTTTTTGAAAAAAGATCAATTCACAAATTCTAATGCAACTCTTTCAATCTCACTAAAATATTAACCTTTTTCTCTCCTAAAATCAACCTTTCATAAGTTAACATCACCAAAAAAATCAATTTTATAAAATCAATATTAATAATTAACTTTTTTCCTAAAAATCAATTCACCCAAATCAACATTTTATTATAATTCAAAATAAAATCAATTTAACCAAGTAAAATCAACTCACAGCGTAAAATACAATCAATCGTGCACCCCACTTCACGAGTCACTCTCACACACTTCAGCGCTTTCATGTGTACGTGTATGCTTTACTTATTTGCCCTTTATTATTTCCACAATTTACCTTCCGTAATTTACCTTCCGCAATTTACATTTACCGCATTTACTTTATCGCATTGCATTCCGTCCAAAGGAAGAACCTACACATGACTTAAAACTTGTGTGTATCGCATTTGCATCATTTTCCCCTTGATCCTTGATCCCATTCAAGCCGATCTTCTAGGATAGATCCTACCCCATATGAAGGACCTTTTATCCTTACAACATAGAAACAAACAATCAACACAATACAAATATTCAAACACATTAGAGAAAGATGTTAATCATCTTAAGCGAGATAGAATCTCCACCCCACAACAATACAACCTCTTACACCTGTGGCGGTTACATCTCCCTTAAAATGACAACGCATTTCTTCTCCCAAACCCAATCAAAACAACTACCCTAAACCCGTAGGAACTTTGACCACAGTCAAAGAACTCCTCAAACCCTTTAGGGGGAACTACAAATACTCTGATTCCACTCCCGTAAGGATATGTAGGCATAAGATGCGACATCTTATCGAGTATACTTAGAAATAAACCTCTAGGTCTTTAACCATTAAGCAGATAAACCATAGCAATAAACAAACATAAAACAAGAGGTTCATGTAGAGTACTACAGAAACTTAGGATGCTAGCACCTTCCATAAGTTTAACCAACCCCCCGAACCTAAACTCTCTTACCTTTGCATGTGCATTGCATTGTGGGAATTTCGATCTTTATCCCTTCCTTTGGACTAATCAAAGACCGGTTGCAAATTGAATTGAAGATTCAAACTAATTAATAGTTTGGTATCCAAATTTCACCGTGACAGTTCGTTTTCAATTGTGTATACACTGAACCAATGCTTCTTTTTTCTGTGCGGTGCAACTATCAACGTGCATGGTTTGTTTAGCTTTATGTCTTCAAAATACAGAGGATCAACTTAATGCTATTATTAGTGATTAAGTTTTTTATTTAACTAAACATTAATGATTATGTGATCACGTAAATTTGATTTTGTTTTATGTACTTCTTCTTTTTTATTTTGGACAAATAGCTAAATTTTAGAAACATTTTATATATTATTTTTATTTTAAAATTTTAATTATATAATTCATCAACAATTTCATATTGGAGAGTGATTTTATTTGAAATAATATCTTGACAATTAAATTTTATTTTATTTTATTTTTACAATTAGCCTTAATTTATAATATTTTTATTTATTTATTTTTATACTTTTATTTCATATTAAATTAATGTCAACTAGAATATTTTTACTTTTATCTTTTTTATCTATTGTAGAGTATTCTTTAATTTTAATTTAAATTAATGTCAACTAGAATATATTAATAAGTTATCTAAAACTTAAAATGCTATTTAAAAGTTAAAATTCATGATATCTCAAAAACATTAAATAAATTAATTTTAAAATAACTTAATAGATAATCTTTTACATAACAAAAAATGAATTTGAATAAAATAATAATAATTTTATAAAAATTGTAAGTTTTGGGGTTTTTGGTTTGACAACAATTTTGTTAAAACAAGTTCACAACAAGATGTTGAGACAGATGTCTTGACAGGTCAGTCAGACATCATGATCAACGTGATGTTGGGACATGTGGGAGGACATGTTATACCATAAATTTAGGGGTGAGACGATTTGGTATTTAAGGAGTGAGATTTAATAGTATTTTAATTCACACGGTGCCGCAATCCAATGAGGAATATTTTAGGAACTTCTGTCTTGACAAATTTGTTTGTATTTCATAAAAAGGATCTTACAGCTTTTTTAGGAAACTTTCTATTCAGTTCCTATTTATGTGCAGAAGATCTTGCAGAAGATTTGAAGTTGTTATTTTGTGATTTGGTTTTATTTAATCGAAGAACCCAAACGCATGCTGATCTGAAGTCTATTTAAAGAGGAGTTTTAAACCTAATGAAGGAGTGAAACTGTGTATTGAAAAAAAGACTGTTTAGAGTTTAGAGAGTTTTGTGTTATTTGTTATTTGTAATCATCTCATATGTCTTTCGACATTTGAGTTAAGCTGTTTTATTTGTGCATATGTGAGTCATTCATGTACTCATTAGGTACTTGAATTAGACTGAGTTTTAAGTTGTAATCACTCATAAGCTTTTAAGTAAAAAGTGGCTTTTTGTGTCTTTGGAAGTGTAAATTTCATTCTTCCTTATTGTTGAGTTTATCACTGTTGTGTGATTGGTAGGAAGTGAAAGGAGTCTCATATCTAGGAGTTCCTAGGTAGAAGTTAGCACATGTCGTGATTAGGCGAGAAGCTTGTAAACCCGTGGGTGTTTGGTGTGGCTTTGAACTAATACTATTATAATGGATTTACTTCCTGGCTTGGATGCCCCCAGATGTAGGTGATGTTGCACCGATCTGGGTTAATAATTAA